TACTACATCCATCCTCCACTGCTGGAATTATGCATAGATGGAACATTTATCTCTGTGATGTTATCAAATACTGTGGTGATCTGAGGCATTTACATTGTTACAAGGAGATAACATGGTGTTGTATTAGTAATGTTCCCATTGCTGGCGTAAGTTGCTATGTAATTTCCCAGAAATACCCTGCAGGTACATAAATAAGTCATGTCACTTCTGAGTGTGTTCATTTTGCATAACAAAAAGCTTAAATTCACACTGTCCTTAAAACTTCAGGCATGGTTATTGTGAAGAATGAATAGCTAAATGTAAGACTAGGTATAATTTTTGCATAGATTTTCCCACTCTTTGGTAGTACTCACAAGCTATGTTGTATAGACATGAAGCCCTCCATTTGAAGGTAGTCCTTTTTCTGTCGGGTCAGGGTTTACCCATTTTCATTTTGTCAGTACAGCACATTACACCTTGTTGGCGTAAACTAAAATCACTGCAGTTCTGGTAGCAGAAAGTCTGGCATATTCTCTACTGTGCGTGGGTGACGGTAATTGTATGAAAAGTTGATTTCTTTAGGCTAAATGGACACAGTAACAGAAAGAACAAAGGTGGAAGAATATTCAGATATTTTGTTTGGAGTAGGGGTGTATGTAAGTGCATGACTTGGTTCATTTCCAGCTCTACCTGCTGAAAGATTTAGATAACTTTTGGAACAAGCCAGTGGTACATTTTCTTAATAGGTGCCAGTTCCCATTTGTATCCTGGCCCATCAGCAGTATAAAGGTGCACCAGTATCGGGTTTTGGTGAAAGTTCAGGCAGGTTTCAGTAACTGTTTACAGGACTGTAGATACCTTGCACAACTTTGGAAGGAGTAGATCAGATAAAACCATGCTCCCTGTTTGCTTTTTATCACGACTCCTACAGAAATTTAAACAGCACTTCCCCAGCAGCTCTAATTTCAATGTGGTTTAGGGAGGCGGTGTGATTCAGCGGGCTGGACATGGGTTTCCTCATTTGTAATGTTATTTATTATTATTTCAACCTGCTCTGAAAACTATGGGTGAAAAGCTAAGTTATTCCTCTGAAAAAGAGATTATTCTTACTGGGACTCAAAAAAATTGACTGGGTTGAGTATCTCCATATGGTAAAATGCTCGGAGGTGGCTTCTTTGAAGGGAGGCAGGTGGCCAGCTTTGGACTGAGGGATCTCAGCTGGAAGTCTTGGACATGAGCAAATTATGCTTAAATGTTCATAACGAACTACTGACTAGTAGTTGAAGGTGTGCAATAAATTATAGACAACTTTTAAAACATTCACCTGGGTGAGGGGGAGAGGGGTTTTGGCGTGGGTATTTTTCTTTGGATGAAAAATGAAGAGTTATTAGAGATTATGGCTGTGAATCTGCTTAATCTAGTGGGTTGTGAGGTGCTCTCCTAAGAAATGCAAGAAATGGGATTATGTGTACAAACTTAATTCAGCCTCTTTATCTGTGTAAATTCTGCCATGGTCTTTAAGTACATTATTACATAGTTCTTGCCTGTCGGATCTGGGCTCATTCAAAAATAAACCCAGATGCCATGATCTGAGCTTTTTCAAAGATGCAAAGGATGAACACTGTTTGCTGTTAACAAATGCTACTAACGAGTATGTGCTCAGTTTTTCTCCCTGTTGATGAGGTTAGAGCTGCAGGCCCTTTTTACTCTGCATTATTCAAACCTTGGTGTGGAGACGGAGGTCTTCATTTCCATATGGGCTCTTCATCACTACAGCATCCGATGACTTAAAGATGTTAACTGGTGTTTGCTGGTGTAGGAGCCACAGAGGCTCGGGATCCTGGTTCCAGGCTGGGCTGTGCAGAGGAGCTTCCCCCTGTGAACACAGACTCTTTTGCTTGTTTTTCCAAACATTATGGTTTCTTTTCTATTCCCTCCAAAATGTCTTCTCTGTTCCCTCCAAAATGATAATTTCCCAGACTTGTCTCACCATTGGGCTAGACTCCCTTTCTAAGCTTAAATTTCTCTGCCACCATAGTGCCCCTCTCCATCCTTCCGCTCTTTGCCCAGCCTGTCTGAATCTCCCTCTCGAAGGGTCCTTCTCTGGCATTTCTGACCATATTCCCCATTTACTCCTCCTCTCAGTCCTACCCTGGCAGTTCAGGGGCAGCTGGGCCAACATAAATAAATAGCTTGCCCCTTGCAAACGGGAGGAGGAGGTGATGTGCTTTGTCTACTCTTGTCTCCCTCCAGACCTACAAGCTTCCCCATCCCAATTTACTCATTTCCTTCCCCAGTGTGCTGTCTTTCACTTTTTCATTGGCTTAGAAAAACTCCTTCTCTGTTAAATAGTACTTTTTGTACTAAAGAGTACAGAAGACATAGTTTGATGATTGCTTTTTTTGGGCAGTGCCTGATTAAATAAGCTGCTGCCCTCCTTGTCCTCTTGGTCTGCACCCCTCCTCGCCTGGGCCAGCACAGATGCCCCTGCAGCCACAGTGGGAGCTATACTGGGAAACCAGTCTTGGTTAGAAGTAACCCAGCACCAATAAAAGGCTCTTCTTCTCTCAGACAGGGCCACCACACAAGTTTGGACTGATGCAACTGAAGGGCTGGTAGGAAGCTGGTGATGAGCGGTTGAATAAGCGAGTGGCACGCCAAAAAAAAAATCTCAATGAAACTTCAGTCCTCATTTCCTTCCATGTTTCAGTTCCCAGTCTTGCCCCAGTCAGCAGGACTAGGAGCAGCCACTGAAATGAAAGTCCTTCCAAGTCCTCGCAGTTGAGAGCAGGGCTGGCAGGAGGAGCTGAGCCTGCAGCTCTGTGTGCTCTGGCTTTGCAGAAGTACTGGTTTAAGGAGTTTTCCCTCCTCATGTTTTCAGCATATTCCTGACTCTCCATGGTAAAATGGATTAGCGTGCTGCTCTGAATGAAGGGTATTTTCCTCTTCTCCTCCACCCTATTTTGGCTGGGACTTTTTTAACCCAGTTTACCATGCAGCCGTATCAGTGCAACATGTGTG